CCCCTTGGTGAATCCATGCTGACTACTCTTAAGCACCTTCTTGTCCTCCATGTGCCTGGAGACAATGACCAGTATGAGCCGTTCCATCACTTTTCCGGGGACGGAGGTGAGGCTCACTGGCCTGTAGTTTCCTGGGGCCTCCTTCTTGCCTTTTTTGAAGACTGGCGTGACATTGGCCTTCTTCCAGTCCTCCGGCACCTCCCCCGTTCTCCAGGATCTTTCAAAGATGATGGAGAGCAGCTTAGCTATGACATTCACCAGCTCCCGCAGCACTCTGGGGTGCATCCCATCAGGACCCATGGATTTGTGGGTATCGAGTTTCCCTAGGTGCTCTCTGACCCAATCTTCCTCTACCCAGGGCGAGTCTTCCTCTCTCCAGGCTTCTTCTCTTGTCCCTAGGGCCTGGGGCTCTAAAGGGCCAGTTAAGCAGAAAGTCATGGAGCATTCAGAATCTCTCACTTTGAAACACTACAACTAGATTTAGGGAGCCCATGGAAATTGCTAGGGGTAAAATAGTCTCTTATTCACCTACAGATAACCAGCTCAGACAGTACTGTGCTTCTGACCATTGAAAACATAGCGTGTTGGGAAGCCTAGCACACAGAAATCCCGTAATTCCGCCCATCCTAATGAAACAGATATTGAGCTGACATGGACTATAGGAAGCACCGGGTTGCAAAAACATGGAATGAACTCTACACTATATCAGAAACCCAGTGCAGGGAAGGTGCATATAAAGGTCTTAATCATAAAATCTTTGACTAATAAGTACACATTCAAACAAGGGAAGGCAACTTCCTTTCTTGTATCACAGACTGCCACTTCTTGAAAGCCACCTCTCTGCATAGACATGAAGCTGTTTGGAAAGCTAGCCTAGCAATGTCAGGAAAGAACTGAACAGTCCTGTTGTAAATCCGACCCACTTTCCTAGCACACTGCATGTCTTTGCATTTAGCACCACTTGGCTCCTTGAGCAGAAGAAGCTGGAAGCACCTTATAGACTTTGTGGATTGGCACAAGAAAAAGCCATGGGCCTTCACACCAACAGGACACAGTGTTTAACTGTCTACTTATTTGTTTCTTTCCTCCCACTGCAAGGGAATTTTACTGGCCTATGTGCCCATTAAATCCTTTGTCTGTTGGGGAGGGTAGGAAAGCGGACACCATGAAAGCCATTTAGCACACTGGGCTGGGAATTTTCCTTTCAGAGTAACTCAAGAGCTCTGAACAAAGCCTTCTGGTGGGAAGTACCTCCTTTTCACTTTCTGCAGTGCATTAAAATGCCTCTTTAGACAGGCAAGCTCTTGCAAATAGCTATTATGGCTCAGCCCTGCTTAAAAGACTGGGCCTTTTGTGTATAAACAACTATCTTAAAACACAGAATAAACTGTGCTTCCTCTAAAACAGATGGACCTATTTTACTTGACATTTCATACCTTCAGCATCTATTTTCTTCCAAGAAGTCAAAATTATTTTTGTTGAAGAAACAAAAAAACTTTAGCTTATGATTACATCTATGTGTTTCCGAGAAAAACACACAAATCCAATGTCTGTATCCACTGTATCCATGAATCCACTGGCTGTATATTTTGCCAGTCAGGGTCCCAGCAGCAGGACTGGCCACCACACTCTCCCTCAAGTACATTAACTATTGATCTGGAGGAATATATTGGGGACAGCAGCTTTCTTCAGTTAGACTTGATTTCTTAACAACAATTCTGAAATAATGCGTGGATTCCTTAAAAATGTCAGACCACTACAGTATTTCTGGATAAAACTTCCTTTTCTTGGCATTGCTCAAGTTTAAAATGGGTGCAGTCAGGAAAGCCCTGCAGCTCTCACGAGAACTGGGAATAACGGTGGTTTTATGAATGATGACACTTACAGTCAGTTGGTTTTGCAACTGCTTCACTTGTTGTTGCAAAGCCTCCAGCTGCTGGCTTTGTCTTTTGGGGGCACTGGTCGAGTAGGAAAGCTGAGAAAGGCTGTTCAATGCTTCTTTTAATTTGGTAATCTCCTTGGACATCTCACTGATCTAGGGAGGGGAAAAACAGGTTCTCATGAAAAGCTGCAAGGCACACTGTGTTCTCGCAGGTGTCATCTGGGACAATTTGTGACTTATCTCTAAGAATCGGAAAAGAAAAAAAAAAGATGAAAACTCAGTGGCCAAGCAAGGACATTATGTGAGAAAAGAGTTACAGTGCTCCTCTTCCCCTGCTGCAACCCACTGTCTGCTCAGCGATGTGCTCAGTGTTGCACAGGAACAATCTGGGCTCTGCAGAGCCTTCCTCCAACCTTGAAGACAGGCTTCACACTTCTCCCCAAGCAACAGCTCACAGGTCTGGCTTCTCACAAGAGCAAGGATGTCTGCAGGTAAACTGCACCTCCCACATTAATGAATTAAATTCCTGGCCCAAAGACCTCTTGATCCCTCCCTTCCAGCACAGGTCCTTGCTGCCAGCTTACCTCTCTGCCCCTAGCCCTGTCATTCAAAGTGAATTCTGTGTTCTGAAAGCTATCTCTATTTACAAGAATTGTATTTACTGACACTGCTTCTGAACACAGGATGAACATGACAAATCTAGGTCAGTTATCCACAATCAGTACAATACACAGCTTTTGTAAAAGAAATTTGCAGTGACAGACTTGCTAGAAAGCATGCAGATGTTCAGGTGCTTTAATAAACTCAGAAGGGTGAATTTTTGCTCCTTTCTAATTCTTTATTTTTACATGTCTCCTTATGGACCTCTCCCTGCTGTAAATCCTCAGTTGTCTGAATACTGTGAACCCAACCTGAGTTGATTTTAAAAGAGAAAAATTGAAAGATCATGTACACCTCCACAGCAGAGGAAAGCAAGTATAAAGTCAAACATACTGAATAAAATCTTTTGTTTTAAGAAGTGAAAGACAGGACTACAGTATCTGAATTGTTAGAGGGGCAAACAAACTCAAAAATTACTTCATTCTGTGGCACTTTACCCAATAAGGTGCATTAGGTCACCCATTCACCATCCAAATTGTCTTGCAGTCTGAGCTCATGCATGACTCCTCCTCTGTAGTGAAACACTAACCTTTTTATCTTTATCCTCTTCTGTTTTTGATGAACTTTTCATTTCAAGAAGCTCTCCTTGAGTTTGATGGCACTTTTGCTGAAGTCCAGTTACCTCCCGTTCCTTTGCTGCAAGCAGAGTATGCAAACCTTCTTTCTCTCCTTTCAAATGCAAAACTTCATTTCTCAGTTGTATGACATCTAAGGACACATTTTCCTTCTCCTTGATTACCTCCTTTAATTTGGATGACAAAATACTAACTTCTCCTTCTAATGAGGATTGGAGTTTTTCATAGGTAGACCTGGGTACCATTGCTTCACTAATTGCAGATTTTTCTTCCAGCAGTTCCTTCTGCAGGTGTCTTACTTCATTTTCCTTGCTGGTAATCAGTCCTCTGAGCTCATTTACTTCTTCCTCCATTTCCTTTAAAGTAATTCTGAGTGCATTTATCATTTGATGGTGTTCAGTAATTGGCATGGAATTTTGTTTCTGAGTGTCTATCAGTTGCTTTAGTCCTTCTGTTTCGTCTAATACTTTTGTGTACTGTGATTTCATTTCCAATAACTCATTCTCAGCTTTGTATTTCAAAGAATTTGTCATCTGAATCAGTTTCTCATGCTCATCTCTAGGAATGTAGTCCAAAGCTATATCATCTAGAGTTTTTCTCTTCCTATAATCTTCAAGTTCTGTTTGTGCTTCTTTGTACAACTCAGACAACTCACTAAGTTGTCTGTTGAGCTCATCTACCATTTTACTCATGGCCTCTTTCCTTTCTCCAGTTTGGGCACTAGATTCCAACTGTGTCTGATTTGCCAGCTTATCCTGCAGCCTTTTAATTTCCTCTTGCCCTTCTTTGTATTTCTCAATCAGCAAAGCTTTCTCTTGGTTAATGTTGTCAATAACCGAACAATAGGTATTCTTTATCTCCTCACATTCTTCCACAGACATTGGCACATTCTGTTCTCTTTCTTCAAACTTTTTCTGCAGCTCTCTCACTTTCTCTTTCTGTCTTTCATTTTCCTCCAATGCTCTCTTCAACTCTTGCTTAAGCATTTCAAATTCTTCGCATGTAACCTTCAACCTACTCAGGTCATAACTGGTTTCTTCACTTTCAGAGGAAATAAGACCCAGTTTCATTTGCCTTTGCACATTCAAAACTTTGTTCACTGCTTCCTCATACCTGTTTTGAGTTTCTTGGAGCTTTAGGTTAAGATCAGAGCCATTTTCTGAAATGCCTGTGCTATTTAAATGATCTGTGTCTGGGACTCCAGACTGGACCTGAGCCTCTAAGTGCCTTCTTTTGGCTTCAGAATTCTCTAATTTCCTCTGCGCATCCTTTAAATCTTCCTGGAGATATTTTATTTTTACTTCACTGGGGCTTGCTGTCTTTTCTTGAATTTGGGTGGCATTTAATGAAGACTTCAGCTCCTGAGCTGAAAACTCACTTTGTGTATCTGCTGTTTGATCAAACTCTGTTTGGGTTGAATGAAAATAATCTATGGTAGAATCTGTTTCTTTAGGTGTTCTTTCCTGTATAAAAAGAAACCCAAACAATTGCATGATAGAAAGAAATGTATGATCATATTCGTTTCAAGAGAAATAAGCAAGGAACTCTTGCAACATTGGACAGAGAAGAGCAATTAAAGCATCATAGGATAATTTTTTTGAATAACTCAGAATCCAGCTGCTCCCATTTAGACATCTACAGTCAAAGAAGGCAGTAAATGCCAAGCTCCTTTGAAAGCCTGGGCTGATCTCCATAAGCTTATAATCAAAGCTATTCAAATTAAAATTCTGCTAACACAATTTTTAACAACATGCTTAAGGATGCGGTTATCATAATAAAGAAAGATATTCGATAATTCATGGGAAAAGCAAGATCAAAACACTAATTTAATCCTCTGGGGCAGAGTGTTTCCATGTTTTTTTAACTTTTACTAACACAAGCCCTTTAAACTATCTTCATAGCACATCTCTTTAAAATGGTAAGCAGTTCTCCGTACTGCTAACAGATCACTAGAACAACACAAAATACAGCACCTGTAATTTATCCTGTAGCTCCTTATTGTGTAATGTCAGAGAAGCAATTTTTGCTTGCATCAACATAAGTAGATCTTGCTGGTCAGTGTCAGAACTTACATCCAACAAACTATCAGCACCTTGAGGAGAAAAAAAATAAATTCAAAAGCTGAACTGATCCCATAGCTTGCTACATATTCTTCCTTTCAAATTAAGCCTTTTATTTCCATAGCCACTTAGCATAGTGAACAAAAGAGCTATTCCTAAATGTGTTTTCCCCCAAAATGTGTAAACTTGCTTAGAGAAATGGGAGATTTTGGTGGAGACCTGTGAGTGAAATTACAAAAAGTTACTCCCCTATAGTTTTTGTGGCTCACATTCTAAGTGGAAGAGCAGAGCAGATTTCTGACTGCTTTTCATTTTTTCATACTAGAAAATTTGAAAATAAGGATTAAGATTATCGTTACTTCACCTGTTGTGCTGTCACTCAGCCTGCCTTTATTATTCAGGGGACTGAATTCTTCCTGTTGAGATACCAGGAGACAACATGTTCATAGAAAGTAGATGTAAAGTTACATTGTTCACAAAAGATAAGAACAGAGCTGCATGAAGCATGTGGCCAATGCTTCCAAACCTGCTAAAAGCATTCAGCTGGGCAGTTCTCATTAAATGTCCATGAAATTGGGGCAACTACCCACAGACAGTTTGGAAAGCTGCCGTCTTGTGATAAGAAAGTACAATATACTGTTTTCATTTAAAAAGGTGAAATCTTCAGTACCATGAGATAAGGATGAGATAGAACACGCACAACTATTTTCCTGATGTCGTTTGGAGAAGATCTCTCTACTTTCTGTATCACACAATGCCATGTACTTCACTGCTATTAGGTAATGAACTCCCATAACATTAATACTTTCACAATCATATTGCTAAGTACTAGTTTATGACTAATTCTACTACATACTTACTAAACATAAATGTAATTTGCAAAGCAAGTGAGAACAGCTTGATTACTTGCTTGTGAAATAGATTTTGAATCATTTTTAATCCTCAAAATTCAGCTAATTAATTCACTGCATACTCTGCACTCAGCAAAATAGACTATTACTTTCCATCCCCAAGATTATTAACAGCTGGAATACCTTGCATACTTGGTCAGCAAAGAAAGCCTGTCCTTTTCCAGTCATGGGAGTTGAAGTTGATGAGCATGGGGAGGACAAATCACTGAGCTGTAAAAGATTTTATATAAATAAGTATCTGTATGTATCATGTGTGCCCATGTAACTACTGCTGACATATGCCCACGTGTATACTACTTTTCCTTGTGCTACAATAAGTCACAACTCTGGGTTAGTATCAAAGAGCAGGTCTAATTATTCAGTGCTCTTCTGAGACAGTAGCACATACAGTGTAACTGTTGTATGAGTAACATTTATGTTTAACCTTAAACATATTTGTTATGTGCCATTTTTATCTCTTTATGTATTTTATTTACTTATATATTTATACACATGTACATACTGTATATATATATACACATATATACACATAATGTACATGTGTATACATATGTATACTTAAAACATATATGTTTACTTATGGGAGTCAGCAAAACCAGGAGACCTTTAACTTTCAATGGAAGATGCATCCATATAGTAATTTATATAGCTGTATTTTAGATGATACCATATTTCAAGTAATTTTCACTCTAACTAATGAGTGTCTTTATGGTGTTATTCCAAAGTCAGAGAAAACACTCACATCAGGATAGGTGTAGAACAAAATAATGATAGAGCAAATAAGGGCTACATCATTCACATAATGCTCAAAATGTTTCTTACCCCCTGAAAGCATCTCAAAATTGCTTTTTCTTTACCTGAACAGGACTGATGGGAGGAGGTGGGGCTTTGCGTTTTTTTGGAGTTCCACTTCTTTCTGAACTTAATTTAGAGCCTTGATCATGCTGAAAGTTTCACCAGCCACAGAAGGTAGGTTTGTTAGTTTGGTTAGTAAAGTCCGAGCAAGTTGTTTTATGAAAAAAAAAAGTATAGATAAAATCCCACATTAATATCAATCCTAGTAGCTCATGCAGTGTCTCACCTTTTTTCTTCCCCTATCTAAAGACTACATCTCAACTAAAACAGAGATATCAAACATGCCTGACAATAAGACTCTGACCCTTGGAATACATGCTTCAGTGAAAACAAACAAGATTTAGTGAAAAAAGCACAAGCTGACGGTTTAGCACTAGTGACCTTAAATTCTTCCATGCATTCATAGCTCAGTCATGCCAATGTTAACGGTACTATCTTTCCTCTCCCTCAACTTCTGCTTAGTCTGCCTGAAAAACCCACTTCTTCACCCAAAGAAAGAATGACTCTCTGCACTGCTACCAGTGGGACAAGATACCTGCGCTCCAAGATACCACACCACTAAATAAGACATGAAAGACACATGTATTCATTTAACTGGCTAAGCCTGCAGAGATTCTCACAAATGTGGGTCTCTAGTAAGATGTAACTGGAGATAAAGTTCAGTTATCCCTTTTGGAAGTGAAGAGACTTTTTCTTCATTTTCTATACACTTTGAAGAGACAGGGAGTCCTAGAGCCAAATTCCTGCAGTTACTCACAAAAAATGAGGGAAAATCCTCCCCACATCCATGCACACACGCACACACACACAGTTTATCCTCTCTTCCTTTTCTCACCATGAGGGCTGCTGTCACTGCTGGCTATTTCAAAGGGAAGTTAAATTTAAAAGTGATGTTTATGACACTCATTTCTTAAGTGAAAGCAAAAATCTTTCACATTACAAAATACAGTTACAGCACATCTCACTGTGGCATTCACTAGTGCTTGTAGGCATGTCAAATACTAGTTTCTCAAAAAATTACAAGCCCATATATAGCCAAATTATTTTTAAACAAAAAAGGACAAATACCTGCTTTGCTTTAGTCGGTGACTTTGTATCTGCAATGCAGAAAAGAAGTGGTGTTAAGAACGGCTATCAAGAAAAGAGTTAGCTGCCATTCCTAACCAAACTCTCAGCTCCACTTCCCACACAATAAATGCTTTGTTTGGTTTTTGAATTCTCCTTTGGAAATCTGAGAAATATACATTAATTTTGACACCCCATTTGAACTACCTACTTTCTCCAATTCTTTTTTGTCTCATATTGAGATAAAATTCAAAAGATTGTGACATTTTTGCTTCTACTATATTCTGTCAGCATTATTTCACATTAGGTTCCTGCTTTGGATACTCTTTTTAGCTTGACCATGAAGCCCTCCCTCTACATTACTTTCTTCTCTAAACCTCCTACCAAGAAGCTAAAATGTTGCATTTAGACCTTCACATAACAACAGAGGATCTATTCCAAACTGCAGACAAGGCTTCTCTATACTACTACTTCAGCTTACTTTTTCTTTCTCCAAAATACCTCTTTCTGCTCTTTATCTCATGCTAGTTGTTACTGTGTAAGCTTTACATGGCTTCTGAAATAAATTTCAAGCTGCTTTATGAAATACATTTGCTTACTGCTAAACATACAGCTAGCCAATTCAAAGTGATAAACTGCAGATCATCATCTCTTACATACCCACATCCTGAGAGATCTTTGATGACAGGAGATTCTGGATCCCTGTATTCTCAGAGAGCTTGGAGTAATGCAGGGCATTCTGTCCAAAGACATCTACTAAACTGACATCTGCACCTTTTCTAAGCAAGGTTTCCACAATGTTAAGGCTACCAGCTTCACAAGCCACCATCAAAGCAGTTCTGGACAAAACAAACACAGCATAAAAATGTCAAGACAGTATTTTTTAAGTAGCAGATCTTTCTTTGTCAGGGAAAAGTGCTACAGTTACTGAGCAACGAAATCCAAGTTTTTATCTACGTGTATACTGACACATACCTGTAACTGTAATTTCTCTGTACAACCACCTGCTCTGCACCTCCTCCCCTTCCCTATGCTTCCCGGCCTGACCTTCTATAAAGACCTGCCACGCTTTGCAGTCGTATCCTAACATCTCTCAAAATGTGTTTCCCAGCCCCAGCACAGGGCAACTGTGGCGGACCCCAGAATAAGGGTAGCCCGCAGAAGGGGAATGCTACATTATCTGTGTATTTCTAAGTGACTTGCAGGGATTATCAGAGACATAATTGCAAACAAACAAACAGAAAACCCCACCTTCCAAGCCTGCTCCAGCATCCCTGCCTGGCAGTGACAGCCTCATCTCAACCTGAAAACATGCCTAATAGTTTGGACAAGTCCACTGGCAAACGCATTCCTCAGCGCAGTTATAAAACAGAAAGGCTACTACGGTGGTACTGCTTGCTAGGCATCAGGACAACCATTTCCCTGATAAATTAAACATTCACACTAAGTGTGGCCAAGAAGCGAGGCCTGTGCAGGTGATGGCTGTTGCACTGCTGCAATAGAAAGTAGTGCAAGTGAAAATCTGGATAACATTGGCACAGTCATAGGCATGGTTTCAGATGACCAAAATAATTAGTGTTGTTTGAACAAGACAGGAAGTTGGACATGCCATTTTCAAACATTCCCCCCATTAGAGCTTCTTCCAATCAAAAACATGAACAACTGTGTGAACAGGAGATGCAAGACTAATCTCCTTAGCAGAAGGACAGTGGAAAAGGTAAATTCCATGTTGTATCATTTTCTTTGCTTCTACACACAGCACTAAAAAAAAGAACTCCAAGTACTGCTGTATCTGTGACAGAAAGGCTTTCATTCAAACTAGCAACATCTTAACACTGTTGATTAAACACTAATTAGTGATAAGAAGGCAGAGGCCCTGGAGTGGTCAGCACCTTAAGCTCAAAGCACAGATGAGATAGTTCAAAGCAACCAAGGGGATAAAAGGGTTTCCTTTAGAAAGTTTAAAAGAAAGACTGCTCTAATAAACTTTGGACTGATATAAACCAAGTTAAGGCTCAATCTTATTATCCTAGGTGTTGCCAGAGAACAATATGGACATTGTATCTTATATAACAATCAAGATTGCCATCACTTGTAAGTGCCAAGTTATCTCAGCAACCTGCTTTACTTTCACAGTTTTAATAACTGTTTATAAAAGGCCAGAATTTTCAAAGACTGTTGAACCTGGTCATTACCATCATCATCAAAACAAGTACATTTTTTTCACTACAGGGTGTTCCTGAACACAATACTATGCTGCGTTAGATGTCTATTGATGCAACGTATCTGTATATGTTCCCTCTCTGAGAAGACAGCATCTCCACTATCAAAGTTTCACTATACTTTTTCCTGCTGCTGTCTTGCAACTGCTGCAGCATTACAGTAGAGAAAAGAGCCTCCGTGGATGTTGCTCTCAAGTAGCAATCTCTTTAGGATTAATGTTAGAGACACTATTGCATGTCAAGAACAGAGTAGCATTTAAAACTGGGACATTTACAAAGTCATGTGCATGTAAGTGCTATCAACCAAATTCCTGAATGAAGGATTTACGAATGGCGTTGACACTGCCCTGGTAGCCCAAGGAAATTCTTACAGCACATCTAATTCTAGTTACCTAGTTTCTTTTACACATTTCCCTTTATCCAGAACTCTGTAAGGCTTCTCAATAATCAGGGTATGCTCTCTGATACAGGAGGCATGAATTCACATAACAATTTGGGAAGGATTCAGGAAGAAAGCTTCATTTGAGAGTCAGCCTTGGGAAAGAATTAACGTGGTGATATTAGTTTGCTGTACCTTCCATTTTTATCCCTAGTGTTGACGTCTGCTCCATGATCCACGAGGTATTTGCAGATTTCTGCGTGACCATTTTGTACTGCAAGCAGCAGAGGTATGTTCCCATCCTAGGAATACATATAAAAAAACTATGAACTATAATCCATTCACTTACAAATATCACTATAAGATTTAAATTTCTGCTACAAACTTTCCCTCCACACAGCTCATATAAGCCACTATTAGTATATTTTTCTTGTGCAGCATAAATGTAGCTGGGCTTCCTTTAACTCCCTGTTGCAATGCTGAGGATGGTATCACATCACAGCATTAAGAACAGAAATGCTTTTGCTCTCTGTAATTCTTTTGTTATTTGCTTAATGCTATAAAATTATGTTTTTGCAACTGAAATACCTTCGAATAGCTTCACAACAAAATTGAAAATTTTAACTGAGCACAAGACAAAAATACAACATTTCATAGAATCACAGCATAGCTATAGTTTGGCAGACACCAAAAGAGGTCACCTGGGGTGTGCCCATCAACCCGAAGGAGGACAAGCTTCAAGTTGGTTTATATTGCTCAGGACTTTGTTCAGTCAAGTTTTAAGCAACTCCAAGCACAGAGATGCCATGACCTTTTGGGGTCCCAGTTCCAATGTGTAATCACCTTCATGGTGAGAAATTTTCTTCCCTACAACCAATCTGGAATTTCCCAATTTGGTGCCCTGCCCAACTTGTGACTGTTGCTTGTCATCCTTTCTCTGTGCACTTCCAAAGGGGGTCTTCCTCCACCTTCCCTTTAACCTCCCATGATGTATCTGAGGAAAGCTATAAGATGCTCCCATAACCTTCTCTTCTTAAGACCAAAGAAACCTTTTCTCTCTTTAAATATTTCTGCTGGAAATTTTAAGTTTAAACTTTGTGACAGATTCTTTACCAGAAATGTCAGGTAGAAAGGAGATAGATGAGAGTCAAAAATAAAATAAAAAAAAAGCTGAATCTGTTTTTTATGCATGGTATTTTGCCTGAAATCTGTAGGGTCCCCTCCCACTATCATCTATCATATTCTGGCTGAGCTTTATCAGCATGTCACAGAACTTGGCCACATAATGGTTCCAAAGCCAGTGAAGTCGATGGGAAGACTTTAATCTAAATGTATGATAGGTTTTGAATATAGCAGAGTGGATTCTAGCTACTTGTACCTATCCCTCAATTTAATGAACAACAAATCCTGCCTTTACCATGTTAGAGGGCAACATGCTTCTCCATCTCTGCTATGGCAAGCCACAAAAGGAACCTTCCCTGGCAGAGAAATCCAAGATAGAATACAAGAGTGGTACTGCTCTGAAGGGCTGCATCTGGGACTGACACGAGTTAGGGATGGTAAAACTGCTTTGAACTGCAATGGGAGATGTACATACCAAGTCTTTGACGTTAATTGGACATCTGTGCTCATATAGAAGTTGAACTACCTGAAGACAACCACATGTAGCTAAAAAAAAAAAAACAAACAAAAAAAAACCACACAAACATGAAAGTAAGTCCATTTTTGAAATCTGTGTTCAATGCTTCCAGCTTGCAATACTGCAGCATTAGAACAGGGCATGAGGAAAACATTCAAATATATTCCTCTGTTTTCAGGAGAGAAGAGAGAGATTAAGAGGATTAACAGCAAGCCGTATGCACAAATAAAGCTCACATTATATCCTTTAATGTTGTTTCAAACTATGAATCTTTACACCCTAAAATCAGAATCAGTTTAATCCTAAGTATACCAACTGCTCTGCATGTGCAAGACCGAATTGTATGTTATCTTGAAATTCTCTATTCACGGTACTTATCTAGACAATATCTGAAAAACATTAGTTATCGGGACAGACATGCATCACTCAGCTACTCTTTCGTTAGTCAAGGATATCTTAAATTTAAAAAGGTGAACAAGACATGACAGACTAGAAATAAATCTCTCTAACACAGCTTGCCACAGTGTCAACTGTTTTTCCAGTCAGCAGAAGGTGATTTGCCAGATTTATACAATTAGAACCTAGAAAATGCCAAGGGGCTGAAGACCTGGATACGGCAAATAGCAAAATACATAGCACACGCTTTCAATAAAGAAGTTACCTGCAAAATGTAAAGCTGTTTTCCCAGTGTTGTCAGTGCTGTCTGCTGGGCATTTATACTACAGAGTACAGAAAGGAGCAGAAACAATAGCAATTAGAGAATCACCAAGAAAATAAAATATATGTTTGCTGCTAAGGACAGAATGCTGAACATGTTTGACAATAGTTCTCCGAGCTACTTCAGAAAAAAACAGTGAAACAAAATATTGATAAAAGGAACATTTTTCCTCTCCACCAATCTGATCTCTCCTGTCTTGGTAACAGCTTATACTGAACTTATAGAAATATCTCATAAAGAGGAAGATATCCCTTAAAATATATATATATAGTTTTAGAACACTTTATATCAAGAAATCAAAAAGCAAAGAATATCTCTCTACTCCTCCAGAAAAGCTTCATGTTTTACATTACAATAAGAGCTAAAGCAACCGCTCTAAGGCAATTACTCTGAGCTAGTTCAAGCTTTTGTCAAAGGAAATAACACTTCATTTTCATTTGTAAAACTAATGTCTCTACATGCCTCTTACACTTTGCAGTATTTTTTAGCTAACAGATGCTAATAACCAATCTAGATTTTGAAATAATAAATACAAAAATACTCAATTATTAATCTTTATCAAGACTTGCTTTGGTAAAGAAGATTTTATTTTCAGTTTACAGTAAATAACAAAGATACCATCTTGAAATAACAGCCTTCTAGAAGACAAATATTGTAGTTTGTGGCTTTCATATGCAGCACTTACTCTTGTAAGATTTCTATATTACCATAATAGTACCACACTTTATACAAAAATGACAATATTCTGCTTGTATAATATAATTATCTAGCCTTTTTAAATTCAGTTTTACCATGTTAAACTTAGACATTCCTCACACATATAAACAGTTTACATCACATAAAGCCAGTCCACAGAAGCGATAAACTGATTCAAAGGGTATGAATAAATTGGAGATTGTTACCAATTGTTTGGCACTTACAACAATATGAACATTTCTAAATATATTTGCAATTAAATCAGCAAAATATTTGTAGCTGATAAGTGAATGGATAACAAATACTTAGTATTAAAAGCACATTCACATTGGTTGCACAAAAAGTTGGTGCTGCTGCTGCATGCGATACAATCAGTGACAGCTTGATGTCACTGTTTATGCTGTAAATGGGTTTGATTTAGAACTAATGCATCTTTATTAAGAAATCGCAAGGAGGGGAGTCCTGGTGATTAATGATGATCCCTTCCAAGGGTGCAGGAAAAGGGGAGGCAGCTCACAGTGAGTCTGCAGGGGAAAGATTGGACCCTGCCCAGTCAGAGACCTTGACACAGGTTACAGGAGACAGCAGAGAGCCCTACGGTCATTGGAGAATAGGAGCTTGGAGGTTAAGGTACAGGAACCACTCTCTGTATCACTGTGCTCAAGAGCAGTGCTATTTTGTGTGTTCATTAGTTTGTCCATAGTCTTAGCCACAGTCTCATGAATAACTCCAAACTGCATTGCTCCGATCACCTCCATCACCAAAACTCACCTGGTTGTCTGAAAGGGAAGAGATATTGTCTCAGATGGACAGTGTCTCTGCTTGTTTGCTAGTGTACATCTTCAGTCTCACTGTCACTGAAATCTTCTCTCCATTTCCTCTTCATTTTTCTTTTCCTTTCCTATCCTTTCTACCCTTCTAAGCTCTCACTGCCCTTTGCCTCACTTCACTGAGTATTCAAGCACATAGGGTATTTTCCTTATTTTACCATCTCAACTACTACAGTTTCTTCTCTCTGACTCTAAACATGAGACACGCTTCTATAGTCAATAACTGATTCTTTTAAAATGCACAGACAGAAAACATTCCCGTAGATCAGTGTCAAAGCCCCACCACAAACAAAAAATGCTTTCCCCATATATTGCTTAACCCACATGCTCCCAAAGCATCCAACTACACAGATGAAAGACAGGAAATTAGACAGGAGCTGCTTGAATTCAACCCTGCTGTGTCAGATCAGAGGGAAAAACGAAGTTGCTGACCACTCAGCGAAGACACCACACTGCTCTCCCTCCCCCATTCACACAGTGCCATGAAGATCTTAAAGGCAAGCATCTTTCTTAGTTGTAAGGAGAAAGAGAGCAACAAATAGGACTATTGTTTAGATTATTAGGAGAAGATATATGTTCCAAGAGGAATCAAAGAAAACCTTCAAAATTAAAATGAATTTAATTTTTACTTTACCTGAAGAAGCCTCTTAACGCAATCAGGGTGACTGTTCTTTGCTGCAAGATGTAAAGCGCTGTGTCCTAAGTTAATAAAAACAAAGCAAATTAAACATTCAGTCACTCCAAACCACATAAACTCTTCTGTGACAATGATAAGATTTTGTCTCTCTTGTTCCTATCAAAGCACCAGAAAAGCAAAGATAGATAAAATAAGGTCCTGCACCAAATAGAGTATTGTTATGACCAACTGCTGTTCCAGGAGGTGCCACAGAATAGTCGTAATGTCTGAATTTATATATAGGAACCGCACAAACACTGTGCCGAACTACCCTGACAGAAGTCAGTCTAATATTGTGTTTTGTTTCTGATGGAAACAACATGTTTCTGTATGGAGAGATGCTATACATTTTGCTTCTTTAATTTTTTTTCTCTATTCTTTCCCCCTTGGAGGGAGATATCTGCCAAGTGTCTTCATGATTTCTGCCATTTTGAAATGAAAAAAGAACACAGTGGCAAAAGCAAGAATAGCCAAATTTGCTAGCTACCCCCACAACAAACTTGCATCATCCATGTACTGCACACAGAAGAGGACTTAGAACACTGTCCTCCTCTGCATCTTGCAGACTCCCTTTTCTGTTAATTTACTCAACTTTTGTGAGCTCATAGTATTACATATTGCTGTGTAATACAGTGATTTAGTCACTATGGATTTATGATGGAATACTGCGATATCTCTTCTAGTTTCATCGATAGAGCAACTGCAAGTTAAAGAGGCCAAGACAGCAAAAGAAAAAATTATCCATGAAAGGAAGAAAGAAGAAGCCAAGATTTAGTACTTGATACAGACAGTAGAGCCACTTGTGACAGCAGAATTGTACAGAAAATGATGGGACTATTACAGAAAAGGCTTTTCCTAAGTAACCAAACACTGGGGTGGCACTTCCAGGAGAGAGATGTCAACCTGTTATTATCTAAATAAAGAACTAACAAAACCTGAGGCAAAATTAAGTATGAATTCTGGTTAATAGCCTATAATAAAATATTCTCTTATCATTATATGTATATTCTGAATAATTCTTCCAGCATCCCAGACATTCTGTGTGGAGGCAAATCATTTCATTCTGTGAAGGAAATTCCCTAAGGCAGCAATGGTGGCCAAGAGATGCAGCAAACCCAGCATTTACACCTCATTACCAGAGACAGGATGCTGATAAGGTGACTGGGCTAACCTGAGCAGGGTTTCTATAGATGTGTCAACTGAAATCTAGTGAGAGGAGTCTGTGTCAAATACAGCTTCTATCATTCTCCTTATGGAGTGGTAATTAAGGCATAGGACTTCTGAGGGCTGAAACTGCATGCTTAAAAGCTCTTAGCTCTGCTTTGCCCCATATCAGCTCTTTTCACTATGTCATAATCCTAGGGAAATGTCTTATTGCAATTCCTGTACAGTTAATGGAGTTACTCGCTTGGATATATATAAAAGCAACACATTAAGATCTTGATTTAATCTATGCAAAGCCCCAAATGAAATTAACAAAAATATTGTTTAATGTAGAACAATCATGTGACTATTTTGCAACTGTGTCCAATGTAATGCTGACATTTATACTGTTAAAGCAAAAGTTTGCAAGGGCTTAGGACCTGCAGTCTTCACTGAGAAAACCAGGTATATCTGAACCTGCAAATAGTACAGCTGCTTTTCCTACACTGGAAAGGAAGAAGTGGTGCTGTTATCTGCACAACCAAGAGCTAGATAGGCAAATCTGGTATTGTGTTGCATGTGTGGAGAGGTCCAGAGAGGCGTACCTGCACCATCCTGGGCTGTCACATCTGCACCGTGTGTCACCATGATCCTGAGGCATTCTGCATGCCCTTTGGTGGCTGCCAGGTGAAAACTGGAAGAGAGAATTTATATGTCACTTTTATTAAGATATAATTTCTCCTTCATTCACAAACAAAGTGCTGGCAAGTTCTCTCCTCCTTGTCCTTAGATCTTCTGGCACCCCTCCACCACCTCCCCTGAAGAAAATAGCTCTGAAAGAGGGAAGGCAAATTCAAAAAGCTTTTTTATTCTTACTTTTTACACAGGTTGCTGTTTCGCTAAGTGATCCCATATACCTTATGTGCTTCTAGTTCCACCCCACTTCTAAACTAATGGCGCTAGAGATGTAATATATACCTACAGAAAGCCTGGGCTGGGGGAATTGTGAAAGGAACATTCACAAAGACTGACTTTGGCTTAGTTGGTTTACTCAGCCTGATCTCCCTCTCTCTATGGACAAAAATCTGATTTCTCTGAAGGTTTCTAAATTTGGTTTCTAAAATAACCTAAATCAATTTCTGTTTCTGAACTGTCCTTTACACAGCCAATCTTTCTTCATTGTAGATGGAAAAATCAGTGTTTGTGAATACCCCCAGGAGGAATCAAAGCTACTAGATATTTGTTAGACTATGCTAGATATGTGTTTTTCATCTTTTGGTTTGGCTTTTCACTGCAAGCATCTGCTTGTTTGGACAGTACGAAATTGTAGAGGTTACACCACAGCAGGACCCACACAAAAGCACAAATTACTAAAGGTTTAATTACAAAACATGCCTATGAAGCTATGCTGTCTTTACGTCTTTTTTACAGCTGAAGGTTCATCTTTGAAATCTTTGGCACCTCAGGAGTCACAGCAGTGGTCCTATATGTATGCTGCTGACTTGCATTAAGATGACAAGCAAAGACCAAGAAAAAACTTTTTGAAAATGGAAGAGTTTGTATCTCCATGATGCATATGGTGTCTACTCAGGTGAGTTTAAAGACATGAACACAATATAGGTGGACATATTACTCCCCATGGTCCTAATAGGAAACAACTCTGCATATCAAGCTGATCTCAGTGGAAATAAGGTAAAAAACAAATTATAGACAAAACACTTTACTATTAAATTGTGTATAAAAAGTTTAGACCTTCATGAACAGGCCCAAAACTATAAAACCCAGTATTCCAGGGACGTTTTCTAGTCTTATACTAGAAATGTTCATATTTACCATGGGGCTTCACTGTGTTAAATGATTTTTTCCCTAGAATCTAGAGGGAGTGTAACAAATCACACAGACACACCAACCACTGTATTTAAGAGTTTATATTTTAAACAACTATTTCCTTCAAATGTTAAAAACCTCACACCAAAAACTCAGCCTGTGACACTGAGAATAAGAGACCTGGCTGAGTTTCTGGCACAGAGAACGTGAACTGCAACACTTGGTTTCTCTAAACTGTAGATAATTCTCTGCCAACTTCTTGAAAGCCCAGCAGAGAAGACAACCTGCAGGCAAAGTCTGGCAAAAAGCGGAGAGTGAAGGCAGACAGGAGAGCATCTGTCTGGGCTGCTGCTTGAGTCTGCTGGAGCAGAGCCCTCTGCCAAGCGGAGCAAGCGCCGATTCCTCCAAGGAGCCCTGAAATGGCAGCGCTCAAGTTTTGACCCATTCGCCGCAGACATAAAAATACCCCGTGTGCTCATCCTCACCCTTGCTCCCTCAATAAACAAACTGACGAGTTAACACTTCTGAGAACATAACAGAGCACTGCTGCCGGCTGTTCTCTAGGCACTGGAAAACAAAACTTTATGTACTTGGTGACCAATGCAAAGTTGTATAAACATTTTCCTTTAGAAGAGGAGGTTTCTCGGGGTCTGGGAAAATGGCTGGATTCTGACAAATTCCAACACCTCTGATTTAGCCAGCACAACATACCAGCAAATGCTGGTCCTGTTTAGGTACATCTGTATAGACACACACTACAATCAAAGTCACTCAAAGATTCGGAAGGCCACGAAGCACACACTTGGCTCGCTTACATTTGACAATATTTGCAAGAAAAATGCATGAGTAATAATTATTGGCTAAATCGAGGACATTAAGGATTTACAGACAGACTGTTTGTGGAAGATGGTGCCAAATGTAACAAAAATATGCAAATGCAAAAGAAGTTTTATTTAGGTAAAACCAGACTGCAAAGAAAGCATCAGAGAGAGAAGAAAAACTTAACTCATTTCAGGCTCTACACCCATGAATACATCAATCTCCCCAATACAAAGAAATCCCATGGCAATTCTCATCATATACAGGTGCTTAGTTTCAGGCTTCCAAACTTTTTGCAAGTAAGAGAAGACTGGTTAATAATACAGCATCTCTCAGATGGATGGATGAAAGAAAACATCATCTGCAAGCAGCATAGGCTACATAAAAGACGAGAAAAAGATGGAAGTATGTAACAAGCACAAAAATACAGCAACTGTCTGGAGACATGAGAAGAGAGGTCGATAAGGTTTAACTCAGGGTCAGTTGTAAAGTAGCCTAAATGAAACTCTGTTGGGCTGCTACAGCTCCCTCCCATCACTTGCTGTGCACCTCCTCCCTCCCTCCTTGCACTGCTACCATCTCATGCTAGCTGAGTTTAGAGGTAATAGCCCCTGCCTTTTTTTTTTTTTTCTTTTTCTTCTTCTTCTTCTTCTTCTTCTTCTTCTTCTTCTTCTTCTTCTTCTTCTTCTTCTTCTTCTTCTTCTTCTTCTTCTTCTTCTTCTTCTCCTTTTCAAACCTCAGTAGTGGATGCTGAGGGCTGCTGTGTATCAAGGGAGGCTCTCGAAACAAAGTTGTCTGTAGATGTTTATTTCAGTACAGAGTAATTTTTTACCAGCTAAATAAACTTTCCTAAAATATTCAAGGCAAAAGCTGCAGGTTTCCAAATGCTGCAGTTCTCACCATCTGGAAGCCTTGAGCTGGGATGCGTTCTGCTTTCATCTTTCATGAATAAACTTCCTTTTAAATGAAAGCAAACAAGTTTTCCTCTTCCTGGTTGGGCAATGACTTAAGCAAACAAAAACAAACATGTAAGGCTTGATTTGGAGCAAGGGCCGCACTGAAGGTTAGAGTAGCACTCAGCATAAAATCCCATTTTCCCTTCACAAAGAAACCTGTTGCTGCTGCTTACAGCCACATGTGTTGATAATCCAGGCTGAACAGAGACAATTGATTGAGGTAGATTATTTCATTGCTTCAAAACATTTCTAGGCTTTTCACATTTCAGGTCTTTTAGTTTGTCTCCAGACCTTTCAATGCAAGAGAGCAGCAGCTACTCTTGCCAGTGGTTTCCAACTGGATCCAGCTATAAAGTCTGCACTGGAAACCTACCTGCCTGCAGCCAACAAAGATCAGTTGGTTGATACTGCTTTTCTCCCACTGGGAAAGTACAGGTACCAGAACTACTCAGTCCTTACCAAGACTCAATGAAAAATGGCATTCTTCAGGAAGAACATAAAATCCGGATGGAGAAAACAGTCATGAGAGTAAAAAGGAACAGCAAAATTTCATTTGATATTTGGGGTCAACTGGAAAACTATCACCCCGGAGTCCTGGCAAACTCAATTTTCCCTCACTCAAATAACATTTTCAAGTGTACCAATAGAGGCGGCGTTCACAAACACTTGGTGACCGAACAGAGTGTATAGCTGCATTTGACATCCCTGAACTAGTTGTAACCACTAGATTTCTTACAAATAGGAGATAGCAACTGGCAAAGTGCTTACTCCTAAATAAGCCTGTCCCTTTTTCAGGGCAAAGGATATTTTCCGTGTTTTAGTTATCGAGTCAAGCTAGCAAAGGAGAAAAGACTTCCTCCATCACTGCCTGACAGAGCACAAGAGTTCAGATAAAACTGGTCTTTGCTAAGAGGCTGAGAGTAAGTGTTTCCAGAAATTATTCAAATGCCAGACAGTCTAACTCACAAGCAGAAAAGCACTGTAATTTTCACTACTTAGCTCATACCAAGCATTTCTTGATAGCTAGAACTGAATTGATCCACATTTAAAGGTTAGTCATGTAAAAATGGGGTTAACTGTGCTTGTGGAGGTAGTCAGCAACAAAATATGGGTCTGCTAAATCTGCGTTCTCTGTTTAACCATTTACAGAGCTACATCCTGCATAGCTGATCACAATCCTCTTACCAAATGTTATTTTGACAGCTGGCTTAAAACAAGTGGGTGGTCCTTAGAGCTAGGGAAAATACCGCAGACATCGAGTGGAACATGATGGAATAAGAATCAATAAATATGAAGTCTTAATTTAAAACACTAACCTTCTAACATCAGGAAATTTCTATTTGTGCAAAGAAAAAAAAATTTTAAAGAGAAAATTATCATGGGCTCCATCTTTGCTGGCAGGGTCATACTCAAGAGATGCTTTGGGGTAGAATTAGTGATCTCAGGTGCACAGAATTGCTTCGTGGCCTGAAAGCAGGGTACTTACTAAAACCTAAAGCAAATAAATAAATAACGTGATTGAATTATGGATGCTAAATGAATAGGAAATGGCAAATACAAAATTATAACAAACGTAAGGCAAAGTCAAACTCACATACAAGCCACATACTGTAACATACTCTCTTTCTCTGCCATTTTAACCTGAGTGCTCTAAAAATATTTTAAGTGCAAGAATGTTTGAAATACACTATGAACTCACATACACCCATTGTCAAGGTTTATTTTGAGTAAAAACATCCCTCCCCAAAGCCAATCATTCTTAATTTTCTAACGTACGTCAACTCTTTTGTTGAATTTAAAAAGTTGTACTTGTCTGCCAAGAGTTTCATGATTTACGGTTTCCTGACTGACCGATACCTCCACACAAACAAACAACACAGATAAAATAATGATACAGAGCTGCCTGGAGCCTCTGTGATGCTGATTAAAAAAAAATACTGAAGTGGAAGACTTTCAACTTCTGCTACCAGGCCAGACAGGCAAGTGATTTGCCAATCTCACTCAGGAAGAGACCCACTGATAATTTGGCTGCTTTTCTGCACTGAGTTGAACTTTTACACATTTTAGAGGAGGCAGCATCTGGTTTAGAACA